TTTCATCTAATTTCCACTTTTTGCATAAAAGGTAAAACTACTATTCATAGCTAAGGAGTTCCAATGGTTCAAATTTTCTTCTCCAAGGTGAACTATGGTTTAACTGATAACAAAAGTGAGTTACAGACCTTGTAGTTAAGAGGCTAATACTCTAACCAGCTGCCAACTATTAAAAAAAAAAAAAAAAAAAAAAAAAAAAAAAAACTAACACGGATTAAAACCACTTGAAATGTGTGTTTTTCTCTCCCCAAAAGAGGAGCTGGGTAGGTAATTCTAGAGAAGAGTCTTTCTGCATTTTCTTACCCTGACCATTCCTACTAGTCACCCCTTGCCCCCCCCTTGCTGTCTAGAGAATGTGAGAGTTCTTCAACTCTACCTCTTAAATAATGAGGTCAGTCCTGAAGTGTTGGAAGAAACGAAGAATCTAGCTCACTTGCTCATTCCCCCCTCAACCTGCCACATCTTGTCTTTGGCTTGAATCTTCGCAATGTGAAATCTACCAAGAAGATGTTTTTAAAAAGCCATCTATAGTTCCAGACAAAAGTCTTGGACCATTAGAAGAGAATGATAAAAATCAGATATTGAGCTAAAAATATTCAAACAGAACTAATGTTCTGGCAAATGATAATACCCATAAATAGTCTGTACAAAATTCTTTACACACTTCTTTATGAATTACTTTCAGATATATTTCTATTTTGTATAACTTATTTTACTTATAGTCAACATGGAAATAATTCAGAAGTGTCTATGTGATGGTCTCAAGTTCATAAATTAATATGAATTCAAAAGAATTTTTAATTGTAGAAAATATTGGATTATGATTTTTAGTATGCATTAACTGAGAAAGAAGAGCATGGATGGATTGGCTTCTTAAGAAGCATTCATTGTTGTACATTATTTAATGTCTTACAAGCCACACATGTGAGTTCAATGTTAATTAAGTGCACTAAACCTTGTATCAGAGTTAGCTACATGCAATAAATGCCATCTGCCAGAACTGCCAGATCTGGCATAGTCTGGCAAAAGCCTTTGTGGAATCTTCCACGTCAGCCAGTCACCCCTGCATGGGTAAATAGACTATTCTCTGTAAGTGAATATATGACAAGCATTCATTGGTTAATCACCTTCAATCTAGCTTGCTGATTGATCAGTTTCGACCAATCAAATCACCCCCACGCGACAGATCTATTTTGGCGCCCACTCAGTCGGAGCCTGTCATGTGGTACAACAAAATTATAAAAACAAAATTATAAAAACAAAATATGTGTAAACTCACTCTCTCTCTCTCTTGTCTCATTCCTTGCTGCCAAGATGTAATCTTCAAGAACTCCCGTCCTAACCTTTGTGGTCAGATGTTAAAGACCATTATCAACATTCACGCAAGTACGAACTCTGAAATCTCTTCTGAACTTTTACCAACTTGTACAATACACAATTCCAAACATGCAACAACTCATTCTTCTACAGTTTAATAATCAACAACTTCTTTATGAGCTTAGGTACAAATATTACCTAGTCTAAGAGACAACTCTGTCTAACTTTTCAGTTCACATGCATGTATATCAAATACTTAATAAATTCATTTGTTACGTTTTGAATCAATACATTATGTTTTTTGAATAATTATTCTGTCTTGTATTAATTGTTGTGGATGGAAGATTATTGAACACACACAATTTTAAGCCTTCTCATCATTCAAACCTTCTATTCCTCTCCAACACACATCACACATCCGCAACACCTTCTGCCAGATCTGGCATAGTCTGGTAAATGCCTTCTGCCAGCAGTGAAAATTGAAAATTAATTTACAAATTGTGTTAGTGCTATAATATTGTATGCTTTATTTTAAGGCCATGTGTATTATCACCGTGCAGTGATATTACTGATTTCATTATAATCACTGTACAGTGAAAAGGACAATGGCTTTATTATCACCATTTGGTGATAATATTCTTTTCGGTATTTTCACCAAGAATATAAACAATTTATGGTTACTTATCAATAACTGCTATAGGAAATTAAAAGCTATTTCATGAAAATACATTGGTTTCATATTAAAATTAAAAGGTATTTTATAAATGCCGTGTGTATTATCACCATACAGCAATGGTTTTCAAACAGTGCAGCTTGCCTCATAGGTACAGTGGAAGAGGATAGCAGGTGAGGCAGAATGATTGAAAGACAATCAAAAATTTAGAAACATTTTCAAAAAATTAATGTGCCAAAAATAAATATATTTCAAAATTTAAAATATTATGATGGATTACTTGTAATTGCATGCATGAATCCCAGTATAAATAGTTATAAATAATTATTGACCAATTTTATCATTGGGATATTTTTGCATTATATCAAGTATTGAGAATATAGTAACTAAGGGATGCAAATTGGTGGAGAGAGTCATCAATGATAATGTTCTGACTTTGAATCTGCAGTTATCTCCCTTTAATTCTCTTTTTGTTTATAATTTTTAAATGTAGTTTTTATCATATAGAATTTGGTAAGGCACAAGCAAATTTTCACTCCATAAATATGCCCAAGAGAAAAAAAATTGGGAACCACAGCCATACAGTGAACTTCTATATAAGTGTTCTTCCTCCATGTTCCCTTGGCTAGCTGGGAGGAGAAGGATAATCTGGAACTTATTCCTCAGCAGTGACAAGAGGACTTGGAGGTGACTGTTTACAAAACACACCTACAGTAATTCTGTAACTACTTTATTGTCTGAGTGACAAACAAAGCTCCAGAAATTTTTCTCTATACTTTCCCTCATTACCCTCTCACACCTCCCTTTAACTAATTCCAGTGATAAACAAAGCTCTTGATATCCCTCCCTCCCAATCTACTTCAGAACATTTAACCGATGCCCATACAGTAATAATAACATCACCTGTAATATCACTGTGAGGTAATAACAGTTAAACCCTTATTTTCATTTTGTCTCAGAACTGGTACATTTTTAGCCACTTTACTCTGAATCCAAAGATAAGATTGTAATATTCATTTTATTTAAAACATACATGGAGAAAGTTTTAAATGTCCAATAATTAAAAATAAAATAGGTAATTTCTAATTAATATTACTTAATTTCTAACAGGTTTTAATAAATCTAAACACATATTTTGAGAATAATGTTCACTACAAAAAATATAATAAATGAAAACAGATTAAAAAGGTGAAGAAATAAGAAGAGAGATAACTTTATTGCAGGATACTGCATATTCTATGAACACATGTTGAAAAAAAGTTGGCAAATTTTTCATATTTCCCAAGGAAGAAATTTGCCTGCCTATGTACTTTGAAAACCTTCACTCAAAAACCTAGTGTCTATCAACAGTGAAATATTTTTTATCAGAGAAAATCTCTATAGCATTTCAGCTAGAAACAGTAGATAACCAGATCCAAATTTCCAGACTTGAGCAGGTAAACAGACAGGACCACAATCTAACCGTTGGGTGCTCACAATCATACAAGGACCACCAGGTAAACACAAGCACCCATGGTCCACACACCAACTACCAGGTTCATGCAGCCATATGGAGTATTACTGCCATGTCTGGTTCACATTCCTCCCTGGTCTTTGAACAGGAGTAGAGGTTTATTCCTTGTTTCCTGTTTAGTATTGGGTTTCCAGTTCCTTCTAAAGTCTACATCAACTCTATACTTCTAATACCACCACCTAAACTCTGAAATTTTATTTACTATTTATTTTTTTCTCAATAGAAGTAGATAGATCTGCCTATTGTTGGCTTTATACTTCTCAGTTTTTGAACAGGAGTACATATTTAACCCTTGTTTTCTGTTTAAGATTGGGTTTCCAGTTCTTTCTAAAGTCTTTTCCTTCTCTTTCACTCCCAGTAGCCTATTGTGTCTTAGTGACATTATTGCCTTGCTTGGAGGTGAATCAATGAAAAAAAAACTATATATCTGAGCTGGAGCTACTTGATTTTCCTAACCTTGACAAAATTCAAATGCATTTATTCAATAATGTGGCAAAAAAATTATTCACTACTCTTTCCCAAAGATGCAACATTGAAAGCCTATCTTAGTCTATCACTATTACCACAGCAAATGTTAAGAACTTCAACATTCTAATTCCACAGAGTCAAATTGCCTGATTCCAAATGTAAGGATAAATTTTCAATCAGCTTTTTTTTTTCCAAAAAATGCTATTTTGACGAACAGATTCATGTGCATGCTTCTTTGAACACTATAACTTTAAACTTTTCAAATCAATTGTTATCTATCCTCCTTATCCTCATAATCTTCACTTCCTACTACCTCTCTTCACATTCATATCACACTCCACACCTCATTCATCATAACCAATTTAACAGTAACCATGTACGTTGAGTGGCTATCAAGCCTTGTATTGAGTGAACTTTAGTATTAATAAATATCTCCTCAAAGCTATTAGATGCATCATGTAACCACACTTGGAGTGTCAGATACATATGATCACACTTGGAGAAGTAGATATACCACTAATAGACTCATTAATAGAGATTGACAGGAAGCCAGAAAATAAATTCTTGAATAAATTTACAATAAACTAAACCTAATATTTTATTGATGTTTGTTAATAAGGAATATGAAGAACTTTAGATGTATTCCGATGGATCTCCAAAATTATCAAACTAAGGAAGAATGATACAAAATTTTTTTTTCTTTTGGACTTGTTTCTAGAATTTCTGTTATTCTACAACGTTTCTTAAAATAAATCACAAAATGAAAATATCAGCTGAAGATGGTTGAAGAGACCAGATGAAATGTAACAGGATAATGAATCATTTATAAATGTGGGTACAAAGTCATAGAGAAAAAAAAGACACATTTACAAGTGCCAGGGAAAAAGAAACATTTACGAGTGCAAGGGGAAAACAAACATTTACGAGTGCAAGGGGAAAAACAAACATTTACGAGTGCAAGGGAAAAACAAACATTTACGAGTGCAACGGAAAAGAAACATTTACGAGTGCAAGGGAAAAGAAACTTACCACCAGAGGGCAACAGCAAGGTGAAGTTAAGTACAAAGTTGTTGGTGTTGTGGTAATCGTTTGGACATGACCTTTGCTCATCGTGGATGGTGAGTCCAGCAATTTGAGGCCGAGCGGAAGGATCCGTGGACTGCAAGTTGTTGCCACTGCTGCTACTGCTTGAAGACGTGACATCGGAAATTATAGGGCTCACTGAATCAGGAATATTTAGCATTGAGAAACTCGAGTAACTGCTTCGGTTTTGACTCCTCTCAAGCTTTTTCTTCACATCTTGACAACCTGAACAGACAGACAAGAAAAACATATAAAAAAAAAAGCAAAGAAAACAAGCCTAATTTATATCCGTACTTATGTAAGTAACAGATTTTATGCCCACACACACATATGTATAAAAACATATTTACACCTAAAGATTGCATGAAACTCAGAGTTGTGCTAGCGATGTTGGATATTATGTATATCCACTAATATATATATTTTTTCTACAGGAAAACCGGCAGAAAAGTGCAGTACCAGTCAGGCTGGTGTAACCAAGGTGGACCCTGACAGAGGAAACATCTGACAGCCTGATGTAACCAGGTTTTCCAGATCTCAACTGTCTCAATCCCCTTTGAGCTGTGAGGAAGGTGCATCTAGCCAAGTGTGTGGGCTTCTCTGTTGAGCAGAGTTGTCCACTAAAATCAAATTCACACGAATGGCTTTGCCAAACTCTAAAATACACAGCCATCTCTGACACTGCTAAACTAGTGGGGGGGGGACAAAATACAAAGGGAGTATGATTATCTGGATGTGAACAGTGGCCGATGACAATGACAATCTATTCTCCAACCTACATACATGTATACATTGAACTGGTGTAAATAATGTTTTGTTTTTCACAATTTGTCTTGATCTAAGAGTTGGGCACTGTCACTATTCATTTAAACTAGATGCATGTATTTAGATTTAGGTTCAGTATAAATCAACTAAATCATGGAAAAACATCTAAAGAGAAAAAGAAAAAAAAGTTTATTCTAGAAATGAACTAAAATCATATCAGCAGGTGGGCAAGATAGGAAAATTAAGAGAGTCAAATGTAAAAGAGAGTTGAATTTGTCTCTGGTTAATGATTTAAAAATACATTGTTTTAGATTTCCCAGAACTTAACAAATACTCAGCTAAGAAATCAATGCCCATATGAAATGGGCAAGCTATATGGTTAGGAAAAGATTCTCGAGGCTCATAGGTAAGTTATATTTGTTGAAACTAACTCTTTAACAATACCAAACAGTTTTTGTTTCTTTTTAAATAAGACTGTTTGGAATGCTTCATCTTTTTTTATCCTGGTTGTTTACATAAGTCTTAATATGACAGGAAAAATACATCAAAACTTTCATTCATTCTCATTAATAATCATTCTCTCATCAATAATGTTACAGCAAATACTAAGACAAGTACTCCTGGGTATGATGATAGACTACATCCAGCAGCAGAGCCTCTGATGGGAAGATTGGAAGTTTTGAAGAGTGTAGAACTACCTCTTAATTGCTGTTGTTCCCAGGTCCACCCTAACCTGGGGTGGTAGCACCTGGTAGGGTCCCAGCTATGGATAAATAGTGAACCCCCAAACAAAAACAAAACCTTATGAAAGTATAAAAATGTTTTTATAGTAAAAAATACCAGCAATACATTTTCATATATAAAAAAATACCAACATACCTATTTATTGTAAAAATTAGCATCAATACATTTTATAGAAAATGACCAACAATACATTTATAGTAAAATTACCAACAATACATTTCATCTGCAGTTGAAGACCTACAATTGTGGTCAAAATATATTTAGCTGAAGTCAAAAATTGTGTTCAAAACATTTATATGTGGCATTAAATAAACCATAGAGGTTGATATACTGCAAAACAAAATCAACCAACCAACTAAAAACGAGAAAGAGCAGATACCAGCATTTACATAGTACATTTATCATGTGAAGAGATATAGCAAATATGAATTCAAAAAGTTGATCATTTAATACTTATTGCCCTTAAATAAAAAAAAAAATAAAATAAAAACTAAGAAAAATATTCACTTCATACCTAACAAGATAGATTTTGCCACTCCTCACAGAAGAATTTGTAGTAGCCCACTTTTCATGAGTGCAGTTCTGGGTGCAAACAGGTGATGAGTATTCAAAAGGACTATGAATTAATAAAAATCATCAAAGCAACATTAGCATGTAAAAAGAGCAAATTTTGATATTTGTTACCCCAAAATTTCAGCACATTTTTAAGTTGTGCATTAGAAATCAGGAAGAAATTGTCATTGGTCAGGAATTAATACAAGTATTACTAATAAAATAGAACTGGTTTATGTATAATGCAAATGTGTAACTAATAATCTTATAAAATTAAAAAATAAGACAAAATAAAAAAAGGGATTGTCAGCAATCAGGAATCAATACAAGCATTGCTGATAAAATAAGGCTGTTATAACTTAAATGCATAACTAATTTTACTATAGAAATGTACTGAAAATTCTCTAAGCCATAATGTCATAATGTGTCTCAAAATTTTCAGCAGTCTTTTTCTGATTAGGGATACTAATAGTTAATAAACACATTGAATTGTGGGAATTTAGAGCAAAGAATTTCTTGAAGTAAAGAACCAAATTTACTTCTTGAATCCCAAGAACAAACCATTTATGTTCTGCCACTTTTACTAAACTGGTATCAGAGTAATGGTAAATTGTGACTGGATGTCCCATGAATATGTCATTATGTCAAAAGTGACCTTGATAAATACTAAGTAAATTAACAGTTGTTTTTTTAAAGCCATTTCTTTTACTTATAACAACTGCAGCTTTTAATAAATCTTTTTTACATCTTGCTTGACAATTATATACCTTGCCACACTGTAAATTATCATGAGAAACCACAGGTTTGAATCAATCATAGAGATTGTCATTTAACTCTGATCTTGTTACTTATCAAATATTAGCGTAGTACCCATAAAAATGGATCGTTTACACACAGATCAAATGCTGATCAAAATATTTGTGCACATTGCCAAGGATCAAAGTGGCACCCCCTGGCATTCTACAGAGGATAAGTGTATTATCTGCATACTTTGTGTCATATCTAAGAAAACTGTTAAACATATATATGTTTTTCTTATTACTTGAAATGTTACTACAGTGGATGTTTTTTTTTATTTTAGATATATGCCACATATTTATTTATTAAGCAGTGTGTATTACATCTATCAACTTGTGTATTCGAGAAATCCTAGTAAAGAAAATGTGTTCCTCAGCAGGGATTGAACCTACATCCCCCTTTGTAAGAGAACCAGTTTTATCCAGTATGCTTCACTGCTCGGCCACAGAGGAAAACACAGTAAGCAAGGTTTTATTTTCACTTTTTAAGTTAGCACATCCTACAGAGTTCATCCCATTCAATACATACACCGCTATTAGTAATAGTAGTGCTGGCCAAACAGTAGAATAATGAATAGAAACGAGAATGAATTTAAAAGAGAAAGAAGTCGTTTTGTAAATACTTGGCTTTGCCAATAAACAGTGTCCAACTTCCTTATTGAGCCTGTTTGTTACAGGTGTTAAAGAAATTATAGAATTTAATCAAAATTTTTATTAAGATGTTTAACCAGTGTCTAGTGTAATTTTCTTAAAGGGCATGTGACTGAGTAGTTAGAACATTCGCTTTCTAACCATGAGACACAGGTTCAATTCTCATCATGGTCAAATTGTAAGGGAGGTGACTTCTTGATGTTATTGGGTCTGGAGGAGGAGGTAAGCATGCGGCATCTTTGGAAAGTGCCTGAAAACCATAACATGGGTTGACCCAAGCTTTGTAAGTAAAACTGGGTAGATGGTGCCCTTGGAGAGTCGTTGATGGCTGTGCTAGCACAAAGCCATTGTGACCAAGGGTTTAGCGTGCTGACCTCATTCAGATTGTTGATCATGCTAGATAACACGCTTTTCTCCCAGAAACTCTAACTAAGGTCTGCTCACCATATTTGCAGTATAAAACACAGGTGGGCTCTGTGGGTGTTGAACAAACACAAAATGCACCTGAGCAAGCATCTGCAATAGGGATTAGATAGCCTCCCTAGTAGACAGATATCCTCGAATACGAGTGGCCAACTATTAATATTGTAATTTTATTTAAATATTATCTTAGCTAGAAAAGGTAACATGCTATATAATTCTAATTTTTGAGTAATTGAATTGAATAATGATATAGTTGATTCAAAATCCTTATTTTGAAGTACAAATTTAACAATTTCTATAACTTTCTAAATTTGTTTCTACCATTTGTTAAGTCAGGGTTGTCAGCTAATTTTCTTCAAAATTAAGGTAAATTATGAACAATTATTCCACATAAATGCACAGTGGTATATCAAAATTTCTAGCTGAATTTTTTTTTTTTTAAATATATCTGTGTGTATATGTCTATGCAAGAGTGTGTGTCAGAGTGTCTATATTTCTGTCAACTTAGCCAGTCATTGTTTTGCATAAGCAGTATTGAGCAGTGACATCAAAAATTTGTCACAGTCAATTTTTCCCCTATTTTCCGTCTGTCCAAATCATGACAAAACACACACATCATTAGAACTACCCGCCATACTCAGGCAGACATTTTTTTCAGCCTGACTTTGTATTTTTATTTTACCTAATTAAACCTGATGATGAACAGAAAAATCCAATTCAAAGTCAAGAATTAAAGCTTTGAAGTTGAAACAAAAAGGAATTCTTTGAATTACTGATGTGTATTTCCCTCTCACTTGTCTGGTAGAATTATGACAACCTGCACACTTGCATGCACAGAACTGGTTTTGTTTTTTTTTTCTGTTTTTATTTAAGCAGATTATTTTCAGTTCAAATTTTTGTTTTCTTTTTTATCTTGTGATGAACAAAAAAAATCCAATGCAAAGCCAACTTTTAAAGCTATTTTAAGGCCTTGTAATCATTTTTTTCAATTGTTAGCCACATTAATGTTTTTTCTTTGTGTAAAATTATTATGAACATTTTCAGCGAAATTTATTTAAGTCAACATTTTAAATCATGAAGTTAAAAAGAAAAAAAAAATTTAAATTGTAGCAAATTAAAATAATTCTAGATTATTTTATTTTTGATGGTTTGTGTCACAACTTTGGGTCTAACTGAAGTCAAGGATTAATGATATGTCCTTAGAGATTTTTATTGTTTTGAAAAACATACAATTGGCAGTTAGACTATTCAGGCTCAGCCTGACTAGCCCAAGCCTTTGAGTCACCACTGATT